AAATGCCAAGAAGTAAGTTCTGTTTGAGCTCATGAAAGTGACTGACAGTTGAAACCTAAATGAGAATGCACATGTGGAGGTTTAGGAGCAGAAGAGCTTTAAGAGTCTTAAGTGAAATGGACGATATCATAAATCATAAGCACGACACGTAAATCAGCAGGTGCTACAACCAACACGTATGATGCGGATGCTGATAAAGTAGGAAAGTTGCTGCCTGACATCTAAATAAATGATTATGAGCAATATATTGTAATTAGGGTGTGTAACGTTTGACTGAAACAACCGAATGGGGCAAATGTGTTATGTCAGTACGTTGATTACGACATAAAAATATATAATGGAATTATCTATTTGCATCTGCTTGAAAAATCATTAAAAGGTAATTGCGTTAACGAGAACATTTGTATCATAAATATTCTGACAAAGGCTTTTGAGAAAAAGATTTGCCATCATATCTCAAACAGTAGATAATATTTGGAGCTTAAAGGTGTAATAAAGGTATCTTTTCTACAGTATTTAACAACATAATTAAACTGTAATTCGATGCAAAAAACATGTATAAATAGCTAATACAGCTTGCTTCTGTTGATGTAACACATTTTAGAAAGTAACACATTAGAATAGTGTCATGCAGTCTATTTCGTGTAGGCCATACACACACATACCAGTACATTAACAGATAACATTTTACTGAAAACTGTTCAGGACCTGTACCATGAACCTCTCCAACTAACAAAGATTGTTATAATTAGTTATACGATGGTATTTATCTCAAGAATATTTGTTATTATGTTTTACAGATTAAGATGAAAATGCAGCAGAGGGGGTCCTTGCCCCTTTACACACAGCCCAGACAGCGACTGGGACTTCTCCCAGGAAACGCTGCCTAGTCGAACCCACCAAGAACTTTCCGGAGAATATGAAGGCTCTCCAACACTGCAGCCTCCTGCATTACCCAGAGTGTCAGAAGGGCTGTACTCCCGGTGGACACTCTCCTGATCAGCGTCAAGAGATCAGGAGGTACCAAACCAAGGGCACCGAGAACAATGGGGAGCCTGACGACAGTGTACTTGGGATCCAAGCGAGATATTTCAAAGGCGAGGTCTGCATATTTAGCATGCTTTTCCCGAATCTTGCCAATCACGTTGCTGTCAAAAGGGACAGAAAATTCAATGATATAAATAAATTCATTCGCTCTATCAAAAAGGACAAGATCAGGTTTGTTGGCAGGAATTCTTCTGAGGCTGTATATGGGCTTATTCCATAGAATTTTGTTCAGGGTCGTACCATGGATGGACCTCAGAGTCAAAGCCACAGGCGTGGCGGAGACGGTAGTAAACGAGTCATGCCATCATGTCGTTTAAGATATGCTGTTTGCTCCAAGGAAGGGCATCCACTGACAAGGTGTTGGACAGTCTCTGTAAATTCATTGCAAAGTTGACATTTCATACTAATATTTTCTTTAAGAATCACAGTTTGGCGATTGCGAGTGGGACGTGACTGGTCTTGGGCAGCAAAAAGGAAAGCCCTCAGTTTCACTTTTATGACTTGCTATTATCATTATTATTTTATTCCGTTAAAGAATATACCTTCACAAGCACTGACTAGTAACAAAAATCGTCTAATCAACACTTTGCAACTTCATGTAGTGGATCTTTGTATTGGTACTGTGTGGACGTAACACAGATACACTTATGAACGCTGCCTTTTTATGCAGTAGATCTATTGGGAATTCACTAATGGAAATGTGAAAATAGCCAAATCATTATTGAAAAGAGTATATTATGTGAAATGTATGCCTTCATGAAAATTGTTTTCACATCATAAATGCTCACAACAAATAGGTTTGTTATTCAGGAATTTAAAACGTTTTACTAGTTTCCAAAGCAAAACGTTTTACTTCAAATAATAATTTCTTATAACTGGTATAATTCATCAACTATTTAGTATTTCTTGATAAAACATTGTAATAGCATAGCATACATGTAAACCCCTGAATTACGAATTACGGCTAGTTTAGAAGGGCAGTAAGTGGCATTACGTGTTCAGGCTAAGTGGATTAGTTGATTGTTTGACATTTTACGTGGACAGAATTTGACGTTGCTTATAATTTCAATGATTACTCACAAAGAACCAAGCACAAAATATCATTGTATTAATCTAGGAACTGTGTAAGTGTTCGTTATTTTGATGTTTTGAGTTTTGAAAATATATGTAGCTCTGTCAACAAATAGCGAAATACTAATTCACGTCTTTACCAGGTACTTCATACAACCGACCAAATGATTTTCATAATCAAACGTAATCTCACACCACAATGTCATTTAGGCATTTCGAGACTAGAGGGAATCATTTGGAGTAGTATATTAAGATACTGTCAGTTATATTTACTTTCTTGAAGGGGCGGCAGGGGAGCCTAACAGTTAAAGCGTCCGCTCTTCACGCTGAAGACACGGGTTCGATTCCCCACATGGCACTGTGTGTAAAGCCTATTTCTGGTGTCCCCAGCTGTGGTATTGCTGGAATATTGCTAAAAGCGGCGTAAAATCATACTCGCTCATTCGCTCACTTTCTTTAAGTTTATTCTGTGTAACAATGTATATGGGCTCCACACAAGTGTTAACCGCGTATGAACTGCCATTCACTATTAGGCTCACATGCGCTGATATGACTTAAACACTGATCAAAGCGGCGTTAAAAGTTACTGTGTCACTCCACAAGAAGATGCATTGAGAGGCTCAGTTTGTCCGAGATGTGTATATCCTAATGACAAACCTTATTCAGTGTTAGGTATAAACTACCTAAGAAGCTTTTCATTTAACGTGACATGACTGCTTAAGAAACTCTCCATGGTATTCAAAGTGACCGAATGTGAACACGAGACAGTGGACCTCAGAGAGACTGAAAATACTAACGGTTACTTATATGGATTACACGAAGATTTGGTACCGATATATTGATTGATATTGTGTCAGTGTGACTCACGGAAAACTCGGCTAACGAGCTCTCTGCGGTATTCGACGTGCCCTTGTCCAACCCTAACAAGGCACCTGCTTCCGGAAGGACAGATCAATGTTACGGTTACATGTCAAATGAACTTTTATATTATTTTACTATTGCAACTGTTTCAGTGTAATTATCTACAGACAGACTCGCATGGCTTTTTATTATTGTCCTACTTGAAATGATTGTTTTCACTTCCTTTAACTTATTGTTATTAGTAGACTTATGTGTACTTATTTAAGTGTTTATTTCCCATACTTTTAAATGCAATGTAAAGCTCATTTTGAACCAACCTCCATAACAGAAGCAATGAAGTCATTTACTTTATGTGTTTGGAGGGGACAGCCATTTTAAGTTGTAAAGACATAAATTACTTCTGGTTTTTCTTTCAGATTAAGATGACTTTCTTTGATTTAACTGATATCATTTTATCGTTTTAGTGTGTCCGTTACTTACCTCATTATACTGTTTCCCGTTTATTAAATCGTATTCGGATATGATAACGCTGCATTCTTGACCAGACAAATCAGTGACCAACGTCATGAGCATGTGATACGACGACGTGTGTCAACCAAGTCAGTGAACCTGACCACCCGATTCCGTTATTGCATGTTATAAGCATGGGTTGCTGAATACCAATTCTAACCCCGATCTTTACGGGTCTACGCAGTTGGAACACGATGACATGTGTCAACCAAATCAGAGAACCTGACCACCCGATCCCGTTATTGCATGTTACAAGTATGGGTTGCTGAATAGCTATTCTAACCTGATCTTCACGGGTGATATCTGAAAGACGATTGATTAAGTATTCTCTATTTCTTGACAATGTATCATCTGTTGACACTTTACACCTTGACAACTGTGCTTCCTGAAACGATTATTTAAACATCCTTTTAAATGACGCAGTCATTTTAGGTTGTGCGGACAGAAACTCTGAATTGTCTTTCAAATTAGAGTGACTTGATGTAATTCACGCGGAATCATTTTAAATGGAATATGCGAAATATGCATTTGCATTTAATCTTCTGTAGTGTGATCACTACTTGCCTCATTTTACTGTTTTAACTCCGAAACAATATTGCATTGCACCTGAACACCTTTTGAACTTATATCATATAAAGAGAAAATCATTGGTTTTGACAGCTATGTACTTCAATGTCTTATGGGTGTACACGTAAAACAAAAGACGTTGGCAGATTTTCTCATCAGAGTACTCCTGTTTCCAGCCTCTTAAAGCATAATGCAAAGATTGTCACAACAAATGGACCATGGACAAATTATACCACTCATTGGGAAGTTCTGTTGCACCTCCACAGGAGTCATTTTTGCGACTGCATAACAAAGAAGCGCTAAACTTTTCACCGTGTTTTATTTATCTGATTTACAATATTGCCACGAAATAAGACGTATTCAAGTATTTTGCTAATTATTGATGGCATGAACATTCTCAGAATAAGATCGATTTCCCTAAATGACCCGCAAAATCGCTATCATTAGGAACCACCAATAATTGTATTTCATTTCACAAGCATAACTTCATCAGGTTTGTGCAATTACAGGAACAGAACATTTACTTGGCAGTTGTTGATGTAAATTCCACATCTTGTGCTTTGGCTCATCACATTGTTACACACATCAAGATCATATAAACACAGGTAGCTTATATTTTGATAACAACAACATTCATCAGTTATTCAATTATGACCCGGAATAAACCATTTTGGTTTGTCATATGTGAGCGTCCTGAATAATTGACTTGCCTTTGCACGTATTAATTACCGGTGCCACTTGTGTGGCATGATGAGCTGACCTGTTCGTGAACATTTGGTAACAACATTATGTCATGCTGCTTCTTGACCACACTCTCATGTTGGAGTCATGAATTCGTGGTCCCCGTATTCAGCAGCCATTTTCTGTATCTGTGTTCTATTTTTCCCTCGTTTCGTCACTGTTGTTCTGGAGTTAGGTTCTGAGTAAACACAATAAAACACACAAAGCAATAGTTGTTTTTATTTCTAAGGCCCCACTGGGAAATCAGAGATGTGACACAGGGTGCAATATTCCCACAGCAACAAATATGTACAACAAAGAGCAGCGACAGCTGAAGTATTAACAATTTTCCGTAGAGCACCACTCGCAACTTTATGTACAATACATACAAGTAAATGCTACAACAATGCAACATTTCACATCTACCGTTATCAAAATAATTCATAATAATAGTCCATGATAAAAGAAATAAAGAATTATGATTAAAAATATAAATAAGAACAATCTTGGTTTTGTAAAATGAGGAAAAGGTACAGGGTCAATAACCGATAAAATTACAGATTTGATTCGAGAGCTTTCATTCATTAAGATTAATGATTTTATTGTAATTATGTGTCACTAATATCAACAACATCGATAAGGTTAACATTTGCAAACCTAAGTTGAAGTAAGCACACCTGCAGGCTAGGGAGAACGAAAACATTCTTGGATCCAATGATAGACTGAATGGTTCCGTGCCATCACATTATCGTGTACATGTGACGTAAATCATCATCATGAGTGCTGATACAGATACAGCACTGAAATGCTCATTTCACTGAAATGGTCACTTTGTGCCCATCAATAATGTTTCTCAGCTGTGGAATATAATTGTAGCGAGTAACGTAGAGTTAAAGTAGCAAACAATGACAACGATCGGGTATTTTGTTATTTACCCAAATGTATCAAAGCTTACTCATCCAATGACAATATATTGTTATCTGTAGTTACAACAAATCTTGTCTCGAAACGATAGAAAGTAAAACATACTTACACAATTTTAGCCTTTACCAAAACATGAATAATAATTTTTTTCTCCATGTTGTTTACATAACCGACTATGAAAAGTAAAATAATACCATTGTATTATTAAAATTGTACCATTGTAAGAATGCTGAAATTCTTTCTTTGAAATCTACTTTCTAAAAATACCTTTTCTCTCATATGTTCCTAATTCGTTATTTGTGTAACAGAGCATGGATTCAGGCACTGAATAGTGCTGATACACATAATCTGATCAACATGGCAACTTTACACAGTAGTTATGTGTTAGATCTAGGACTGAACATCATAGGAAGATAATCATACTTCATGAAGGGTTGTATGTTATCATCCAGGCAGACTAACATTTGAAGTTTTTTTTCTGTTCAGATGTTGAAACGTGTCTGGAGCACAACAAGAAGAAAACCAATGTTCTTCTTGATGGAAATTTGGAACAAGACTGGAATATTTACATGCTATATTTTAAGTGCTGATGATGAACACTATAAAAATGCAGAAAATCGCTTCCTCGTGAACATACTTCAAACGTTTTAGTTCACCAATGTTACGTGCTATACGATAGCTGCTCTCGGGCCATGGCTAATCTAAATCAGGAGGCGTTTTAGTTTGTGAAACACAAAAGAGACTTCACAGCAGATGTGTCTGGTTCAGCTAAAGAAAAACGTCACTGAATGTGAAAATGAACATTCATGGATTTTATTTTTTCTGACAGTATTGATGTGGATCATGCAAAATAGCACGGCGTATTTGAAATAAGCATTTAAAGTAAAGTTTTTGCGATTTCCTTTATGACAAGTACAATTCTGATTTTATCTACGAATATAGTAATGTTCATCACATACTTTAATCAAACTAAAACGCCTCTAAAATAGCATTGAAACTATACAATTATTTTAATAATGTACAAAATACATGACTGAAATCTTATAAAGATATTTATCACACGTGTCAGTAATGACAGTTTATAATGTTAATTCTAGAAGGGATAAACACATTATGCAGCTCCACAGACAACGTACAGTTAGATACGTACATTAGCCTGTGATGACATGTCAGCTGCAGGTAAAACTTCCCTGTCACAAAAACATGCAGTTCTTAGCTGTTCCATTCACACATCTCATATGATACAGCAAAGCATGTTTTATGCAATAGCCTATAGCTTTGTATTCATTTATTAAACTGTACATATTCGTAATTCAACAACAGACCATACACCTGTTAAAAATCTTTCGCACGATCTCTGTTTGTCTCAAGAACATCCATGTTGCTTCTCGACACATCTACTTCATAGTTTCTGCCGGTAAGTTATGAAATGACAGTACGAAAACATCGTTTGTTTCTCCAGGTGGTTGCAAGTACTGAATAAATAACGAAACAATTACAATGGTATTCAAATAACTATTAACATTAAACAATACCTTTAGAATTCAAATTCGCTTTCAGTTTATCAATGTAATTTTTATAAAGTATAAACATTACAAATGGCATGTTTACATAAAACATATTAGGAACGGACCTTTATTTTTCTAGATGTGTGTGACCCTTAATCAATTTGGACTACAACTCTTTGCCATGTCGATTTTCTAGATTGGTTAGCTTATAGGTATGTAATGTCATTGTTGTACCAGACTGAGACACATTTAAGTGCGTTCTCCGCCGTTTCCGACAGAATACCATGTCCAAGAAGTGACGACGAAATTTCTTGCCCGTAGTGAAATACAAATAGAAGTTGATTGCGTGATTTGAGTCACACAGAAAGAACGTTAACTGGTCAATTAGGTACTTTTGCGCATCAGCCATTGTCCCGAGCCGAACACTCCAGTATAAATGTACGATTGCATATATACATCTTGGTACCGTTAATATAATAAACACGACGGCAACGGATACAAGCATCACAGTAATTTGTTTTTCTTGTCTCACTGATCGACTAGAATTACTAGATTTCGTCCCGTTCTTCATAGAAAGTTGGTTCCGCACAATGGTGGATTTTCTGACGGATTGGACGATAAAAAAATTCAGGGTTATTAGTAGGAAGCAAGGCGCTAGTGAATATACGGCGGCATTAAGCCAATACCACACGTCTCGGTAGAAATGTAGATACTGAAGATCTATCTTACAATATGGTCCATTTCCAGTGAATGTCCAAAATATGTGGCAATAGATGATGGTCACAACACATGTAAGGCCACCTACACTGACCACAGCTCGAGGGATAGTCCAGTACATTCCGACCTTCAGAGGTTTTCTGACAGCCACAAATCTCTCCGTGGCGATAAACACAAGAATCCAGTTTGCGAAAGTCGTGAAAAATAAAGACAAGAAGTTGAGAACTTTACATCCCATGGAATCAAGCCACACTTGGTGAAGCGTTAGCTGGTGGTACAGAAGTTTGAAGACAATGGCACAGTTGTCGATAACAGCTAAAACAGCTACATAAAACGTGGATGTTGTAATCCTCTGCATCCGAATAATTGTGATCACACTTGCAACATTTCCAGGAAACCCGAAAGCAAAGATTGCCCACAGGTAGTAGTTGTTGATGTAGATGCCAGCGTTTAACACCGCCGTCACATCATCGTCGTACTCATAAACAGGGTAGTCTGTTGAGTTGTTCATTGCTGGATGGAACCCACGAAGCACAGAATGTGAATCTGTGCTCCTCACTATGTCTCCGAATCTAGTTTCATATTTCAGTGCAAGATCGAAGGTTAGGCTGGCAGACTGGTGTGAATCACCTGCTCCTCAATGCCACACCTTGTACCAGTCACAAATCACATAATCACTCCTCATTGTCTTCCGAAAGAACTGTGTGTTGTTATAGGATTCCAAATGCTGGTACCTTCCAGACAAATGGGCGATAAGTATATATGTGTAATAATTTCACTTTACAATTCAAGACACTTTAATGTCTCAGTCTCTTCGAAACATGACCACTGGTAAACATCAATATAATATCATTAACCAGTCACAGGAATTAATGAAACAGAAATTGATAAATATTTGGCTATTTGTCATGCACAGAATATTTCAAACTGAATCCCCATGCAGGACCTTAAGCTAAAAGCAGGACAATTCAAGGGAGGTTCTCAAAGAGATGGCATGAGCGTGTAGAAATGCTGTTATTGTACACTCATATTGTACAGACTGTATCGTTGGGATAGATTTATTGAGAACCCGGCGTCGAGTGTGCATCTGGAGAGCGTCAATGTAACATAATGTACATGCCAACTTATACAAAGGAGTCAATGATCAATTTCCTTATATGATGATATTCACAAGGCGCCCCACTGTCTGAGAACACCTAAAACATAAAAACCTCAAGTTAATCAAATGAATGATTGCAGGGTTACAGCAACTTGCGCAAATCCTGAGCTCGCTCTTCAAATCACTTGCGTAAACTTCCCTCTAACCATTGTGGAGACATTGAAGAAAAAACGAATATTTAATAAGACAGACAGATCCAGTTTCGTATACGATCAATTTCATAAATCACACATCAGCCTTTGTGACCTCTGCTGTACAACTTCTTCGAGCAAGCTATAAGTTACCACTACACAACTTCATTTAAAGCCAGGGCCGAATGACCACTGCTAATCTATCATTACTCCCAAATATATCAGATGCTCAAATGCTGTTATCAAATTACTCTGTGAGTCCAGTTTATTAGCATTTTTAAAACGACACATGTGTAGATATTAGAATGATCATAAAAAGATATATCAAGAAACTCCAAAGACACTTTCAGGATATACAGCCATAATGGTAATGGATTATAAACCTTCATAGAACACCCATATACAAGAACAAAATGTACAGTTGATATTTATGTAAGAAAACATGTATTAAATTTCATCCTCCGTTTGACCATCATCCAAGCTATTTGATTTATACTTTGTTTGCATGGTCACAGTGGTTCCAGATTGCGACAAATTCCTAGTTAACATCCGAGGTTTTCGACAAAGAACCATATCCAGGAAGTTGTTCCTGAACTTCTTTCCAGTGATGAAGTACAAATAGAAGTTGATCGCATGAGTGGAATCACAAAGAAGAAAAGTGAGTTGGTCCATCAAGTACTTTTGAGCGTCTTCTATTGTTCCAAGTTTAACATCCCAGTACATATTGATGATGACAAAAATGCATCTGGGAACTGTCAGTATTACAAACACAATGGAGACCGAGATGAGCATCATGGTAATTTGGGCATCCTGTTTGATTGTGCCACTACTCGTCTTCTTCTGTTTCCTTTTCATCGACAACTGGTTCCTTAAGGTTGTTGACTGCTTCACTGAATGTATAATGAAACAGTTTAACGTTGTCAGAATGACACACGGTCCTATGGAATATACCACCGCATCCATCCAATACCAAGCGTTTCGAAAAAAGTGGATGTATTGAGGGTGTATTGCGCAAAATATCCCTGATCCCGTGTACGTCCACAAGATGTGACAATAGAATAGAGCGACCACACATCCAATAGTTGCAACACTGAACACTGCTCTAGGAACCGTCCAGTACATCCCAACCTTCAGTGGATTCCGTACGGCAACAAATCGCTCTGTTGTTATGCATACGAGAATCCAGTTTGCACATGTAGCGAAATTGAGCATAAAGAAATTTAACATTTTGCACCCAACTGAATCCAACGTCACTTCATGTAGCGTAAGTTGGTGGTACGTCAATTTGAATACGATAGCACAGCAATCAGTAACAGCTAATACTGCAACATAGAAGGTTGATGTTGTAACCCTCTGCATTCTGAATATCGTGATCACACTTGCAATGTTCCCAGGAAATCCCACAGCAAAAATGACCCACAGGTAGTAGTTGTTTATGTAGATAGCCACCTTTAACATAGTATGTGCATCACTTCCATTGTCGTAGTCCGGGAAGACGGTGTTGTTGCTGTTATAATCCATTGTTGATGCCAAGGTTGATGTTGATGATATTGCCAGAAATTAATCACTTTGACACTTTCCAAAAAGTATTATTGATAATATAATCCGTGATATTCACTTTTCGGGAGGCATTCCTCAATTAATTGTATGGGATATTCTGCCTGGAACTGTCCTTTGTCACTGTGTAAGAATGTTTATAAATACAGAAAAGGACAATGTTGTGACATGCCCATTCAGGTAACCAAATCACAGGCTAATCCATTTCGTTCAAAATAGGAAAAGAATTTGTTTTCTTTATTCATTCTGTCAGCAATGATCTGAAGTGTAATTACATCGTTCACTTCAAAACCAGTCAAAGAATTTTCTTACGACAACGCTTTGGGCACCTGCTATTCCCAGTAGTTTCCTAAACTAACTACAAATACTGCAATGTGGCTTTATGTTAAGCTTGTCAGACACATATTAACTTACACTACTGCCCAAAGGGAAATGATCATTAAAATAACATATTCATTCCCCTTGGGCATATTTTTAACCAGATTACCCTCACGTTTTGCTATTTCTTATTTCAATTCGTTCTGCGAAAATAATTTCTTGAGAAATTGATTACTTAAAATTGCATTTCTTTGTGTTAAATCAAAGCACGTATTGACCAGTTTAAGTCCTCCAGACAGGATAGCATTCATCCGATTTAATGACCTTTTTGGTCGATTTAATATATGTGCAACGTCATGTCCACGAGCTCAGTAAATTGCTTTAAGGCTTAATGCAGCATGTTAATTAATTAAATGAAAACATATATCCGATCTAATTCACTGACCTGCATCTCATGACTTACAGAAAACATAATCGCATCCTTTGAAACCTTTCTTTATATAAAGTTGATGATTGCCAAAAGCAACGCGAAGGGTGATGGGACTATTTGTTCGAGCACACAGCCACGCTTGTTAATTCTATGACCTTGGTATTCTTTGTCACAGCTGGTAGTCAGGAACTTCTTCATTGAATCTGCCAAGGGTACCTAAAAAATAGAAGCATGTATCGTTAATAATGGATACGGCTGTCAATGAAATGCCGTTCTCAGCCATATACATAATCTTTTATGACATGTTTTACATGTGGCGCTGAAGAACACAGGTTTAGTCTAACAAACACTGCTGCCGAATATGGTTCAGTATGTATTAGTATTCGTGACACTAGATTGGCGCCGTTAGCTGACAATGATTGCACCTTGTTTAAGAAAGATGTTTTCCATTTTATCATGACGTGTCGGCTTAATGTCAGAGACCTAAGTAGACGTTTAGTGTTTCTGAAATTCCAAGTCTGACAATAAGCGCGATTGTGGATTCGACACTACGACACTACCAAGGGGACAAAATGCTACACATATGGTATATACACATACACATAAGGTATGCTACACAGCATGGTATATATTCAACTTAATATTAAAATCAAGAACAACAGTTCCTGGTGGATAAAAGAACCAGTGTACTCTTAAGCATCTTTGTCATACGGATAGGAAAGGACAGTGTTTAGTGACGTTAACGAATGCATGAATGCTTTTTGTGTTTCAAGTTCAATGTGAGAGGGAAGCCACTACTGGTATCAGAAGGTAAACATATTGATGAACTTCTTGAGGACGGTTACGTTGCAGTCAACATCGGTCCCAAGACGATTCTAAGATTCGAACCTTCGATCATAAGATCCAGGGACGCCTAAGAGAACCAACTCTCCATGACGCATTCCATACAGTTTGTTGAGTCCCTCACAAAACAAGACCTAATAATTCTACGTATTCATACTCTGAGATACCTTAATACCAATGGCACTTGTGTTACAGTATACATTATACGGTGATGATCACTGGAATCATGTACAGTTCCTATCTGCTGAGAAGATAGATATGAACCACATACTATTTTCAAAGATCACAGAAGACGTGCATGTAGAGCAATCCGCTGCAACCGATTTCAAAAGGCATAAAGGGGAATCATAGCGCGAACAATTACAAGACAATTACATTACAAGAAATGGCATGTTCTGCGGTACCAGTAGCACTCAAAACACTTACGATCCTTAAAGGTACTGGTTAAAATTGGTCTTAAGCAACCCATGCTTGTCATATGAGGCCACTAACAGGATCGGGTGGTGCGGCTCGCTGACTTGGTTGATGCCCGTCATGGTATCCCCAATTCGTAAATCGATACTCATGTTGTCAGTCACTGGATTGTTTAGTCTGGACTCAATTATTTACAGACCCTGTCATATAGCTGGACAATTGCTGAGTGCGGCGATATACAACATTCAACTAAATAAAAATCACTAACACAGTTTGCATTTTGCAGTAGTCGTGCAATGCAATCCAGCAAGCAATGTACGGAAAGCAATATACGGAAGGCTTCAATATACTGCGATGATCATTTTTGAGACGCTTCACTGTGTATGAGCTAGAGCTATCGTTTCATTCCGTCTGTGTGGGAAATCATGCACCTGTTTCTGTCACTTACAACCATGAATTTGAATTACGCATGTGTTCTTGCATTAGCTTCCTAATTTTTGACAAACACGTGTGGTAGACATGTATGCAGTGTACAACTTCTATAACCTGTGTCGTATATCACTCCGCTGAATGTCAACATCCTATCGATTTGCAGAGAACCTAGGCCTGTCTTCACACGAGCAAGGCAAAGAACACTTTTGTAGCCAATATGGATACGAGAAAAGGGACAACCGCTTCTTGGGAATAGATGTTTTGTCAATGGCCTTATCAAAGTGTTTGAGTGAAACATATCCTGTAGTACTTGTGACTGAATGGCTAAGTGAGTGACCGAGTGAGTTTAGTTTTACGCCGCACTCAGCAATATTCCAGCTATATGGCGGCGGTCTGTAAATAATCGAGTCTGGACCAGACAATACAGTGATCAACAGCATGAGCATCGATCTGCGCAATTGGGAACCGATGGCATGTGTCAACCAAGTCAGCGAGCCTGACCACCCGATCCCGTTAGTCGCCTCTTACAATAAGCAAGGGTTACTGAAGATCAATGTTCTAACCCGGATCTTCACGGGTCTGAATGGCTAAGAAATATCACAGCCACATCACGATGGCATGGACACAAACGGGTCTGGACCAGGCACACATGTGAACGACATAAGGAGCAACGCTCAATACCACCAGGTACAATGATGCAAAGAGGATGTAATTAAATCCTCATTATATGAGTCGGAAGCTTTGACCGACAATGCCAAGGAGTCAATTATGGTTGATTAACATTAAATAAGTTGTTTATTTTTGGGGAGCAATGCTACATAAAAACAGGATAGTCATTTGCGTTCACTGAATTGTCCGAAAACGTTTGATTAATATACTCATGCCAATAATGGTTGTCACCCCCTTCAATTTTTTTATTGGAGAGGGGCTTGGGGTGTGGGTGTGGGGTGTGTGTGGGGTTGGGGTGGGGAGGGGTTGAAAACCATTATTGGCATGAGTATATGTTCCATAAATAATAAATGATTATTTTATAATTGGTAGATTGAATTAGGATTGATTGATTGAGGTTGATTGCCCCACGCAGCAATATTACAGCTATATGGCGGCGGTCTGTAAATAATCGAGTCTGAACCAGGCAATCCAGTGATCAACAGCATGAGCATTGATCTACGCAATTGGGATACGATGACATGTGTCAACCAAGTCAGCGAGCCTGACCACCTGATCCCGTTAGTCGCCTCTTACGACAAGCATGGTTACTGAAGCTCAATTCTAACCCGGATATTCACGGGTCTTGAATTAGTAAGTGAATTTGTTAGTGGCTGTATCCTCAACGGGGGTAATGATAGTCCTCCTTAGAGGGTACGTAAGACCACAAAGTATCCTACCACGTTTTTGTATCGTATAACATGTCTTCGTTGATTTCATGGCCAAATGTGTTATAATCGCCAGGATCAGAAGGGATGTTGTAAATCCAGCTAGGGCCCATGCAAGCAGCAAAAGTACATGATCTGGTTCCATAGCCCGTTCTTTTTGTATTATATTTACCTAAACAGTGTCATAAGTCTAGTTTTAAATCTGTGACTATGATATCCTTGTTGTTTTACTGTCCTTTGTCGACAGATTTTATAATATAACATTATCTTTTATCAATACACGACCCGTTTTACTCACGCCATGGCTGAACTATTGCCGATTTGCCTCCTTTAAATCTGGTAATCTAAAGATGTATTGCGGTGGGTGAGGGTGTGGATGTTGGAGTCGTTAATACAGTGGCTGTTTGTTGCAATGACGGCGAAATGTGTGTGTGTGCGTGTGTGCGCGCGCATGCGTGTGTGTTGATATCTGGTGGTTGATCCAGTTGTGGATATGTTTGATTATTCGTGACTGTGTAAAGGTCTCGGGGCTGTAGGGTAGTCTAGTAGTTAAAGCGTTCGCTCGTCACGCCGAAGATCCGGGTTCGATTCCCCACATAGGCACAATGTGTGATGACCATTTCTGGTGTCCCCTGCCGTGGTATTGCTGGAATATTGCTAAAAGCGGCGTAAAAACAAACTCACTCACTCACTCTTTACCTTTTCGCGAACGCCCGGTGTTCAGTAATCCATTGACTATTTCCCATTCACTATTTGCCTCGGTAGACCTATGGATTCCATTTCGGCAGACAACAGACTACAGAGGATGATTACGTTCTGGAGCTGACGTATTATATTTGCATGAAGTCATTGCCCTTCGTCGTATTTACATGGTGTGCACACGCTATATGGGAATAAATATACCGAGGCACGCCATGACAGCGCGAAGCATATTTCCGGTGTCCTCCACCAGGATTATGCTGAAATAGCGTTAGAGTGAGTGAGTGCGTTTAGTTTTACGCAGCACTCAGCAATATTCCAGCTATATGGCTGCGGTCTGTAAATAATCGAGTCTGGACCAGACAATCCAGTGATCAACAGCATGAGCATCGATCTATATAACTGGTATACGGTGACATGCATCTACCAAGCCAGCGAGCCTGACCACCCGATCCCGTTAGTCGCCTCTTACGACAAGCATGGGTTACTGAAAATCAATTCTAACCCGTATCTTCACGGGGGAAATAGTGTTATAAGCGGCGTAAAACCATCCTCACAAACTCAGTCGCTTATGAACGCTTATTAACACCGCGATGGACGAAGACAGTGTTTCAGAATCACTTTCATCTATATCCTGAAGGGGCGGTGGGTAGCCTTAGTGGTTAGAGCGTTGGCTCGTCACGCCGAAAACCCGGGTTCGAATCCCCACATGGGTACAATGTGTGAAGCCCATTTCTGGTGTCCCCCGCCGTGATGTTGCTGGAATATTGCTAAAAGCGGCGTAAAACCAAACTCAGTCAGTATATCCTGAAAGTAAGAATATGTTGCTGACAAAAGCATATAAGAATCGCGATAAACCTCAGATTCGAAGAACAGCAGATCAGGGCCCACTTGCACTAAGCGATGTTAGCACTCTTAAGTGTATGTGAGTGAGTGAGTTTGGTTTTACGCAGCAATATTCCAGCAATATCACGGCGGGGAACACCAGAAATGGCCTTCACACATTGTACCCAAAGGGTATGTAAGAGTATGGGAGTTGCAATCACCGAAGCGCTTAGATTGCTTTGTCCACATGGGCACAGGACTTCTATAGAAACTGTGACATCAAACATGTATACTACTGAAAAGAAGTTAAGGACCATCCTATCATCCGTATTACTGTAGTTGATCTCTCATGATCTATATTCACGTTAGTCTGTTATGCCAGGTAAATGTAGCAATAACGTTCAGGACCACTCGATTCTCTCATTTTACTGGAGTTAATACATATTATACAGTTATCCGATGATCCTTAACTGTTGTCGAACAGTATATATTCAGGACCACGCGATTCTCTCTTTTTACTGTCAGATTACGTCTTGCAGCGTACAATAATCCGATGATCCTTAACTTCTTTCGTGCAGCATAGAACTCAGTTCCTCCCTGTCAACTGGTGTCCAGAAGCAGATTTGT